TTTGTTGGACTATTTACAACTTCAAGTAGTTAAAGAGGGCCAAACTTAATTTGAATTTAACTATTTTAACTAGATACAGTATGAACTCTTTTAACATGAGACATAAGCAAAAATGTGAGGCTTCAGTTTGGCGGGATTATGAATTAACTAAGCCATCAGCACCGAGCCTACCAAATTACTCATTACCCTGTCTTAAAGCACCACAGCTCACAACACAAGTGCTGGAGTGCTGGGTTTCAAGTTTAAAACAGGTAATAACCCTGTTGTTATATAACTACCCTGGTGCCACAAGACTGGAGGTAATTAGACTGACTCTACATGTCAACTAGAGTAATTGTAACGTTATTAAACTAGAGGTTAAGTTGGGCTGCAGATGGACTGAGATACGACTACCACCTGCCTGGATCCAATTCCGGAGGTCTGGCAGATGGGTCTGCTCCAGGCAGACCCCTCTACAAGCACTACAAGCCTGTCACAGCTTCTTCAACGTGTGAAGTGAGAAACCTCCCTCCCCCAGGTTTTCTCTTGTTTGATGTTCACGGTTTTGGCGGCTAAATTTCACACTTTTGCTAAGTTTTCAGATTTTTTCAGGGTTTTCAGCTCTGAGTGGGTATCTTTCTGGAATCTGTGGGAGTTCTCATACTGAGAATGAGATTAACCATAACATCATGGATTTATTTACTTTAATAATTGGTGGTTTTTACTTTGTTGGGGGGCAATTTGTCAAAGTGCACGGTATTTACTACCAACATTATATTCTTCCAAGTCCCAAAACCAGACTGGGCTCTCATTTCAAATTTCACCATCTAAATTCTTGAGAGATTTTCAGGGCTAAATTCATCACGTCTATCGCAATCAAAACCAGTGAACGAAAAATTACCATTTTACCCATCTTGTCCTAATCAAATCTGACCTAGTAAAAATTAAACCAAGTTAGGCCGTCTGGGCGAAAATATTTGACAAATTCCGCAATTTACACGTAATGTGTGGATTCATTAAATCACAACGTAGCAGGAAAAATTTAACGATCACGCTTGGACTTTGTTTTTATAAAAGTTTTAAAAGATCCAATATATGATTTACACGATTACTCTAAAGTTATTATCAGCACACGATGACACGATCGCAGTCTGGCAGCCCAGAGAACAGTTCACCCTAATTTATCATGATGAGAATATCACGTCAGGGCTCCATCATGGACAATGTTGACCCTTAATAGTGCAAATACACCGCAGGAGAGATTGGAATGCAAGCAGAGACGCCGTCTACAAAACGAAGGACATAAGGTTTGCTGTGTAAATCTGGGCATTATGCAGGAAGGAAGGAATGTTTATTTACGAAATCATGTGTTAGATTGTGTGTGTGTGGACTGTGGAGACATAGTCCGGGACCCTATATTTGGGAATTGGGAGTCAGAGTTTTCGACATTGCTGTAAAATATTGAGGGTTTTATTTCCTTGTGCAGTGGGGAATACATCCTGCAAGTAATGTTCATTTATAAAAACTATTGTCCAACAATTATTTTAAACTGACTCGTTTAAACATTGTGTATTTTCTTAGCTCAAGTCGATTCAACTTTGGACCTCGAGTTCAATTTAAAATTCCAAACGTGAACCCTCAATCTATCATAAAACATGATTCACGTCATACGCTGTAAACCTCCCAATGCCCGTTTTACGTTTTCTCAGCCGGACTATCCAAAATCTTACATCATCACAAAAACATACACTAATTTATGCAATTCTCTCGAAAGTACATTAATAAGAACAGTAGTTTGTCATCGCACAGCGTTACCAGCCTATATTTAACTCCCCGAAAAGCGAGTCACTCTCACGCCGTGTAACGATAATAAGCGTTATATTATATATTAAGTTATATTGCATATTATATATTAAGTTATATTGCATATTATATATTAAGTTATATTGCATATTACTTAAACTTTCTTAATTACACCCCGCCTCACTTGGGTCCCTTTTGATTTTACAACTTTCTCTCTCTCTCCTCCGCCGGCTGTAGAGTTAGAGAGTGGTCTTAATAAAGACGTGATGGTGCTTTTTACTCAAGCAAGCCCGGTGATTAGTGGCTGAACTGCTGCGTCGGTTTGATCACTGATTACTACCACTACTACTAGTAAGAGACTGTGAATTGTGCGAGTTACATAAACATCACAGTATTATCACATAATATCACAGTATTATGGAAATTTGGGCAGATACCTGAATTATTTAATGCTTGAGAAACTTCTGTGTAACATTGAATGAACGAACATTTTTGTTTCCGGACTACCATGCGCCCAACAATTTCACTAACTTATTCTCCTTTTACATTACTTTTACAACATCGGACTTCTAGAATAAGGATCAATGGTTCAACGGTTCAATTTGGTCTATCGTACCCGCGTACCGTGAATAGTTGTAACTATTGTTCACTGGTTCAACCATTCCACCGTTACACAATAATGTCTGCCACTGCGTATTGTTATAATGAAGGTGGGTGTCCCTCAAAATATGTCAACAGCTTCTTCTTAATTACCCTCTAAAGCCAAGTTGAATTGAAAGGAATATCGACTTCTCCTGTCTGCTGATCAAGTGATTGATCGGGAGCACTGTCAGTGTCAATGATTGAGAAATTGAATGCTGAATATTTTGGCTCATGTTGTAGGTCAGCCCATCTTTCAGTTAGAATGAGTTGGGTTGGGTCGATGACCAGAATATAGACGGCCAGGCACCCCTCAAATGACGTCATAGACGACCAGGCATCCCTCAAATGACGTCATATGAGGGGGAGCAAATATCCCGGGGTGATCAGTGCTCGGTCACTGGAAATAAGTACAGGGCTGCTCGTTCTCTACACAAAAAGGTTAGAGATACCTGGTGCGTGAATTCAAACAAAGGACCAGGGCTCGCAGATATCACTTTTAACTTAACAGTAGTTCAAGTTCAGTAAATCTATTGCTAAAAGATGCATTCATGAGATAAATAGTTGTCTCGTTTATGATAACCACTGTAACTCCCAGCTTATAATGGAACAGTAGGTATAACCCTATTCAGCAGTTAATTATGTGCTCAAGCGTATCAGAGTCAGTCTTTTTGTCGACACTCTGATATTCTGATAATATTCTGTATTGTTTGTGTGTTTAGGTGCCACGGTTGCGGGTGTATGACCACAAATTGGTGGCCCCTCTTAAACAATTAATATTGGGCAAGAAGTGCCCAACTTTAGCAAGTCCTTTCTCTCTTCAATTTCATTAGGAGAAGATAAGTCAATAACAGACAGCAGTGTAGGCACCCAATGGCTGACTCGCTTGGTCAGGGGTCACGTGGTCACGTGGTCACGTGGTCACGTGGTCACGTGGTCACGTGGTCACGTGGTCACGTGGTCACGTGGTCACGTGGGTATCGTTTTGTAAACATGATGGTATTATCAGTCACTCTTTGCAGCAGAGTGGTTGCAACACAAACTCACCATATTGTTCATCAATCTGATTACTTGTGATAAGTTTTGAAACGTGAGTCGTGACCCGAGCTCCCAAATATCAAATTCTTGGAATTCTTAAGCTTACGTCAGGATTGTCACATTCATTCAATAATGAAACTAACAAGGATCTTTCCTTCCGTGGTTCATTCTTCAAAATTTGAGTAACAACCTTTAAACTCGCATGACATTAGCCCTATGGTGCTTTAAGACGAAGTTACCCTTGGAGATGGAACAACAGCACTGTTTCCGCACATTTATCACACTATTTTGAGCTCACACACCTATATATGACCGACCACTGCAATACAGCTGATAGCTCTAAAGTGGGAGCGTGGTAATCTTGACTCCTGTACACCCGCCCTGGCCAGTGTTATGTAAAGTATTATTATACGTTCACGTTAACTTTTAATCAGTGAAGCTCACTCCGGTCTCCTCCTCTCTCTGGTCCTCCTCACGACATCCACCTCACAAACAATCTTATAAATACAGCTAACAAGCATTGTTGTGCGATCAAAACAACACTAACTCATGTTATACAGCTGATAATACAGCTCCGCTATTTGAGTTTCTAATGCGCGTATAATATAATATGTTTATCACCATGTTACTGGTACACTCGCATGCTCTACAGTTATATGCACTCTCTCTCGGATTATTATATTCTTAATTTGAAAGTTTTTGAAGGCAACTTCTTGACATGTAGATGAGATTTAATGGCACTGATTCATGTGCTGTGTGCAGGTAAATTCTAATTGTGCGTCCAGTCTTCTTACTGGCCTATCATTTATCAAGTAGGGACTTTGTTTATCATGTATAAAACGATACTTATTATATACTTATTAAGTATGAACTGAAACTTTATTTCGATAGATAATGATCCTAATGAGGAGATAGGGCAATTAGCAAGGGCAATTGTCCATATTTTGGACCCTAATCCTCGTTTATATGGTAACAGGGACCTGTGACTAGGCAATGGTAGTTTAAACTGCAATAAAGAAACAGTGTTTATAAGTTTATAGAGTTAGAGAGAGTAGGTAATGAACCTATAACTATAAGTGAACCTATTAGTCCCTTAATTTTACAATATCGTTCAATACCTGATCTGTCTTGTGACTATTATAGGGTCTGATACGGTTAATTAACTTTTACAGTTAACCCAGTAAAAGTTGAGGACAATGTTTGTCGAGACTAACATTGTGAGCTGAATGGGGATAGTCGGTGAATGGGGGGAGTAGGTGGACAATGCTACAGCGGTCAGCCGAGGGAGACAAAGAGAGAGAGAGAGAGAGAGAGAGTGATGGTTAAAGCTTAAAGTTAAAGTGTCCGCTTGCACTAAATGATTAGCACCACAGTAATGAAGTAAGAATTAATTCTAGGAACATTAAAGTTGGGGCACATTAAATTCGAAGATATGTCGATCTCAATATATTGTGCGGGCCGCGGGGTGACAGTGTAATAAGATGGTTGAGTTAAGTGTAGGATGGTTGTGTTGATTGTAGGAAGGTTGTGTTGAACTTTACCTGTCTGAAATCACACTGGGGGTTGTAAGCGGAGGTACCACAGAGAAGGACCGTCCTATCGTCTATTGGGATTATTACTTTGTAGTAGTTAGCACACATCGCCTGAAAACAATTCATTAGTCAGCTTTACACACTCGGTGGAGTTGACATATATTATAACACAGTGCAGTTGATCATATCGTGTGTATTATGATCAAGTTATTGGGTGACATTTTCTCTAGTTGTAACAATGTATTATATTGCCCTAAATACGTAATATGTCTCATGTTAGCTCGTTACTAGTCAGTTTATTGCAAAAGAAAACTTCTAATGTGCGACAGCAGCTGAAGAGGGTGAATTGTGTTGTTTAGATTAATTGAAATTAATTTGATGCACAATGGTAATGAGCGACACTTTATTGTAAGACACTGATGTACCAAAGTGTTAATAAAGTGTAAGTGTAGTATGCATTTCCGCACCATTGTCAATGAATAATAATATTATTAATTATTATTATTATATAAGAGAGGGAGTGCTGGATATGTGGTTGGAAAAGATTAATATTAAAATTGAGCTTCTCAGCAAGCTCAATTGCTCAAAGTACTTCAAGCATGGCATAAGGGATGTTTTTAAGAAGAAAAAAACAATAATGAACGCTTGAACAATGTTTGTTGTAGTAAGAATTTGAATAAAACTTAAAAATGGAAAAATAGGCTGACTGAGGATTAATTAACCTTTGATCGACCAGCATCCAGACAGTTAGTGTAGTCATTGTGGGCTCTGTCTTGAATATTTGACTGCCCTGTTACGTCCTGGAATTTACATAGTTTACACTCACTTACACACACTCTCAGTTTGAAGAGAATTAGAATTAGAATCAACAATTACAAAGCATTTATCACAATGAGATTATCTAATGAGGGGTAATAAAAGCATTTTCAGAACAGAACAGAGGGAAAAGAATTAAAGAATGGAATTAACAGTCTTCATTAACAGCTCACTATATATTATATATACATATACTCACTCTATCGGGAAAATTCTCATCGATCTGATTTTTAAAATCTAGCTTCAATACAGCATTCCTGAAAAATTAGAGGTGAAGTTAAATTGGATGAATGAGCCTTCATTTCCTGGCATAATATCTAATCAAGATATCGAATGAGGATACAGTATCGATCATGTAATTAACATGTAAAGTGGACAAGACAGGGGGTTAGATTGCAAGTTTTGGGTTTGTGCACTTTATTGATTTACCGCATCATACTGTAAATAGGCAAGTGAAAATTTGTACGTGTGAATAGGTGTCTCATATTTCTAACAGGTTTAAATCAATCGACGGGCCTAACGGAAAATTTGTGTTATGAGGCCTCACACGACACCAACCATAATTGAAACATAAGCTGGTGTGGGACTTACCTTCCCCCAACGACAAGAGTTGAATTGACGAGTCCCTGAGCTGTGAAATAAACCTCTGATCCCGCATACCGCACACAGTGGTAACAATCTGCAATTAATAGAGATTTGTGACAGGAGTTTGTGACTTCTTACAATTTCATTTGAGAAACAGAACAATATATTGAGACAAGTGACTCGAGTGTGGGCAGTGTATCAGATCAGAGTAGACGATTCTAACATACTCACTCTCGTCAGGAAGGTCCTCCCAAATGGCAGCTATTATGGGTAGAAGACAAGTAGCCAAAAGTAGCATCATTCATTTTCAGACCTGCTAAACCATTTTGATGCTGCAATGGAATGTGACTGTTTGGATTTTGTTGAAATTATTATGCGTTAGTTAGGATATTGTCTAGTTAACTAGGGGGATCTAAAACAAATATAGACAAGGAAGTTATCAATATTGTCCATATTATAATTTTAATCATATTACAACTTTATAACGGTATATATCTAAGGTCTTAATATTCTTAGCTAAATGCCGCTTTTTTCCAGATATGAAAGATATTTAACAGTTCAAAATGAACAGCACAAGACGTTGGGCTTACTGTAGGTCTGACTGAAAAGAAAAATGAGCTTTGGTAACTTAAAACAGTAAATACTGTAGTAGCTGTTTCTAGACGTCCAAGAGATCAGAGCAGTGGTTGTTCATCTAGTGTGAATCCAGCAGTCAAATTAAGCTATATAATACCTAAGGAAAGATGACCTCTCAAAGATTATTTTTGTGCTATTTCATTTTAAAAGTTTAAATGACAGAAACTGATTTCTGAACCACACAGTTCCTTACTTTACGCTACCATACAGATGTATCTAACATTGCTTTTCATGTATAGCTGAAGACCTAGACCTACGTGAACTGCTGGCACTGCATCGAACAATGGAAAGTCCTCATTCAACATCAACTGCATTATATAAATCACACCAGGCAAGACAAAGTGCTTTGTTAGGCATTTACTAAGGGCTACTATACCCCGTCTTAGGCCTTCAACTGACTCTGATGTATCATCTTCTAATCATCATTTATTTACAAAGATGTTAAAATGATAACATTAGAGGAGCATCATAAATGCACAAAATATATAATATGTACTCAGATAATAATCACCATCATTTCACATCCTGAAATAAAACAAAATGCACCAGACGATAGTAGTTTTTCCAGTCCCTTAATGAAACAAGTTAAGCATGTATATGCCAGAATACGATCCCAGCACACACAAGGCATAGCCCTGGTAGAGGAGGTTGTTATATAATACAGGATCTTAGCAGAGCTCCCTCCTGAGACATAGTTGCGAGTCAAAATAAGACTCCCAAATTTCAACATCCAAAATTTGTAGTCAAGAATTAGAAGTCCAACAGGACATCCTTAAAAACATGTGAACACTTATTAAAAGCCCCACCTTGTGTTAAGTGCACTTATGTCCCATAAAATCAGATTATTTTCTACTCTCTTTGCGTTCTTTAGGGGTTGCTTTTTAAAGTGTTCGTTGGGAGTCTTTTGGAAATAGGTTTTCCAAATGTGATCAAGATTCTTTGAAGGAGGAGGGGTTCATAACGAATTATTGAATAGTTAAGGTGAAAATATTCGATTGCTGCAGGAGAAAATGAAATTGATATAGGCAGTGGGACAGTCATCTAGAATATGTCTTCCCTTGAAGCAGAGTTAAATTGATTGAAAAGGGCTAGACATCTGTGATGTGCAATGAAATAGGTTACAGTTGGATTTGTATTCGGCAAAGGACAAATCAAACATCAAACAGCTTTAGTCTAGTTAAGTGCCCGTCTCTGTCTTTGATCTTTGATATCGTTTGTAGCGTGATGCACTATTTGATTGGGCCGTGCCGAGCTGTGAAGGATTGAGATCGTCAATGTATGATACATCTGACCTTAATTTACAGTACTATCATAATATAATAGTGTAAATTAATGGCCATGATTTACATTTTTATGGATACTTATAGTTTATGGGTTACAGTTCACTGGTGATGTTGTTTTTATTTAATTTTGATTCGACCTGATTTAAGTTAAATTTTTAAATGTTATGATACTTATTTAAAATAGTTATGTCATCATATCATGACTCATTTATTATATTACGATTTGTTTACCTGGGGACCCATGATTATTGATTAATGTTTATAAACTTATATGGCAAGATGACTATACAGAATGACTAGACATGCTTAGAGGCGCTCAGTAACATAAACATTTTTTCAGTCAAGCTGAATGGTAGCATGCAAAGTTATTTATAAACCATGGTATAATTTTTCGCACATTAAATAATGGGCGCCGCCACTATATATAGCGAGCCCATGTCGATCTATCCCACTTCAAATAACACCACGCGTTACTTTGATTGCCTAATCCAAACCCTAATCTTAACCCTAACCTTAATCCTGACCCCAACTCTTACCCTAGGACATAAAAGGTGGCGAGGCGCACGATAAAATAAAACTTGTTCAGATTTTAAAAATTTGTGTATGGTGTACCATAGTTTTTTTCAAAATGTGAGCTTTTTCACAATATCCAATTTGTCATACCTTTTTTGTTTTTATGGAATGATTATTTTGGAATGATCATTAGTGAGTTTCGTTAGTGAGTTTCGCCTACTTTATGACGCACGGGTTTTATTAATTGACGATGTCAATTCATCGCAGGGTTGGCGAGGCTTGTCATACGTTGTATGACCCGCCGCGCGGCTCCCTCTGTATCATCGAAACTCTACAGGGGTTTGTAAAGCGACAATGAGGGTCACCGCGTGATACAAGGCGAGGCACAGTAGCGCATTTCGCCGACCTGTCGTTGCGAGAAGCATAATTGAATGCGCGGCGCGGCACAGTAACGCATCGCGCTGCAAGGCTTTTATATAAAGTGTAAAAGTCCGTGTCGCGTAATTTGATGAAATTCATTAGTCATTCGTCATTGTGCATCGATTTTCGCTCAGCGAGGCGAGATCGAGCGAGAGCCGCGCCGAAAGCCGAGAGCTGAGAGCTATGGGAGCTGAAATTCTTAACGGGTGATACTTGTAAAATTTTGTTTCAACTTATAAACCTACAATGAAACTCATGAGCCGCGCCGGGAGCTGAAAGCCGGGAGCTCTATAGCGCGCTGGCTAGCCGAGAGCGGGAGAAAAGAATTAAAAGTTTAAAGTCGAGAGTTCTGCAGAACAGCGGCAAAAAAAGAAACCACGATGAAAATGGGAAACTGGAGGAGAATTTTTTAACAGATGCTACTCGTCTAAATTTCTTCGAGGTAGCGCGCGCTGCTTTTTTCCGAGACAAGTGCTACGAAGTAGCGCGCGCCGGGCTAGTCCATTAATGATTAACAATACTTACTTTACTTTGGGCGATCCTCATTTGAAATCCCATTCACTGTCTGCCTCCACACGTCTCGATCGCACATAACAGTTCGAAGGTCGTTCAACTGGAGCCCAGTGTCTCGAGCTACTACGTCCAGGAAGGTGAGTGGTCTCCTTCCACGGCCGGACTGGGCAAGTCGCCAGGGGAGGATAAAGGAGATAACTTGGTCCGAAGCTCTCATGCAAATTGCAATGCTCAGTAAATCTGGAACGCCTTGACGCAACCACTGAGGCAATAGATGGAAGGTTGCCATAGATCGGCTTGAGGGTTGGATGCTTCTTCCACGAGATGTTCTTGGCTTTCATTAAAAGACGGGTGTAGCATCCGTTGAGGCGCTTCTCGAACTGCTTGTTGATGGTCCCTGTCTCTGATCCATAGTGATAGAGCAGCACTGGTTCGACACAGGCTCTAAAGAACTTGACTTTCAGTTGTTCGGAAATGCCAGAGGACCAGAGTTTTTGCAGTTTAATACACAATACAGGCTGACCAGGCCATTCCTTTCCTTGTGTTGAAATCTTTTCTACTGTCCACAATGAAAGAGCCGAGGTATTTAAAGTCATCAACCAGTTTAATTTGGCGGCCTGAGATGGAATGTAGGTCGACAGTGTCAGGGATGTTGATGGTCATGAACTCGGTCTTAGAAGCATTCGTAGCAAGACCAACTTGTGCGGCCGCATTTTCAAGGTCTGTCAGCAGAAGTTGGACTTGCTCTATGGTGTCTGAAATTAAGGCCAAATCATCAGCAAAGTCAAGTTCTGTGATTTTGACCGCATGCACTCTTCGACTTTTCCTAGGCACGATGGTAAGACCGAATTCTTCAGCCATGCAGCTTCTGAGGACATAGTCAAGGACGATGATGAAGAGAAAGGGTGCTAGAGTGTCCCCGGCCTTGAAGAACTCCAATAAGTGTCCTAAAAAGTCAGTAAGGCCGTCGATGGTCTGGACACGAGAAAACGATGAGTCATAAAGTAGCCTGATAGCATTAGCATCTACTAGTGGAACAGGGATACCGTAGAGGGAGAGGATGTGTAAAAGGGCATCCCGGTTAATGCTGTCGAATGCTTTCGAAAAATCGACAAACAAAATTGCGGCTGAGCGATTTCCGATCTTGCATTTCTCGAGTATACGACAGGACCTGTGGGAGTGTGGATCTTCCTCTACGGAAACCATTTTGGTTTGGTCGCAAGAGGGGATCAATGAATGGGTAGATCCGGTTGAGGATGAGCTTGTTAAAAACTTTCGCTGCAACCGGCGCCAGTGAAATGCCACGGTAGTTTCCTGGATTAGTAAGATCACCCTTTTTGGGGATGGGAATGATAGAGGCGGCTTGAGGGATCACACCATCCATGAGTGCTTTGTTACAGAATCCGAGGAGGTTTTCACGTAGCTGGTGAAGCTTCCAGACTGAGAGAGGGATGATATCTAGACCGGGTGACTTTGAGAACTTGGCGGACTTCAGAACCGTGTCGAGTTCTGACATGCTAAAGGATGAGCAGCTGATGGGCATGGGCAGGGTGTCAGAGACTCTCTGGTTGAAGAAGGGGAGAGTGAGGTCAGGTGGAGTATGTTCTGTGCCTAGAAGGGACTTGAAGTGCTCGAACCAGATGATGAGCCGTTCTTCTGGCACTTTGCAGTATGGCACGGTGTCGGAGGATGTTAGTTGTCTGATGATGTGCCAGGAACTGCGATGCCTGTGCTCAGGGTTAGTTTTCTCCAGCCGGTCATAGCAGGCTTCGTAGCAGAAGCAGTGATGAGCTGATATGATAAGATGTTTTCAATTCTTAGGGATTCTTTGTGGTGTTGGCGATGCTCTTGCAAGGAGATAAAATCATTATGATGCATGAAGGCTGAGTGAGCTAACTCCCGTTTACTATACGTGATACAGGGTTGAGAGTCCTACAGTTGAAGGTGCTAACCTGAAAAGGGGTTTAAGTTTTCCTACGAACTAAAAGGGTAGTAACAGGGTTGCTGCGACTATCAGGACGCAACAACAATGGACAAAGAATTTTTCGATAAGCTTATTTTGTATTGATAGAAAAAGTATGACTAGTAGACTATGAAATTTTAAAAGTTTATTTTGGAGCGGAGATGAAAATTGAACTTTAACGGCCACAATATCGTGGCGCATGTTTGAAAAATTTAAATTCTTACCGCCTTTCGTATGATATTATGAAATCAAAATTTGATTTAATTGTTGACGACTTACCCTTTTTCATTTTTAAAGCCAAAGTGTTTAAATGTTAAAGTGAAATTGAAATTTCTTAAATTATGAAAGTGAAAGTTTTAAAAATGGGCGTAGGTTATATTGGACTATAGAAACTTATATTAACCTTAAATTGACCACAATTTACTATTTGTAGGTTTATAACCTACGACTCGGATCGGACTGCCGTCCAAGACGCGCGCGCCGAGTTGGACTCGCGTCCGTCGACAGTCTTGCAGGAATTTGGAACAAATATTTTACAAGTATCACCCGTAAAGTTACTATCTTTTGAAACTAGACTTTCATTAGATCTGTATATATGGTTGACCTCCAGCTAGCTAGTTGTTTTTGAGGTATTACTATACAGATAATTAAAGAAATATCAAGGGGCTTCGGCGGTCCGGCTAGCAGTTTACGCAAAGTATGCATGGTTCGTTGATCCAAACTTACGACTTTCACAAAGCTTTTAGTTTTATATAACTTCATGTTTGCATTTTACGAGACGAGCATTTTGCTCAATACAAACATTATCTATTTTACTTTTGGAAATAGACTCTTAGGTAGGGTTTCCTGGGAAGTTACTAGTAGTACTACTACTACAACATACAATGCACGCAATTTGGGGAGTGCAGCTCATGTGATTTCGCGGGAAATATAAACTGCGCCAATAAAATACGGCTTTTATTGACATACGTTGCATGCCACTTTTCGCGATACGAAACATGTATCAAACATACCTTTGCGAACATAATATGGACAAAAACTCATGAGGGCCAGGGTAAAGGAAATATTTGTACGAACATGATAGTGATAGTGAAAAACGTATACATGCCATAATGCTGGCAACATGCCGCAACCTCTACGAAGCCACCTCTAGTGCTTTATTGTCGTACACACAACACACAAACCGATTAGCAAGCCATTACCGTACGAACCAGTCTACCCCTAGGCCTAATTCATAATTCTATTCGTGCAAATACATTATCTTTCCATGCGAGATTTTCGCCTAGTTTGGCTTTTTTTGGCCAAAATATTCGTGATTTTCTTTTGTCCTTGAAGTTGATGACACAATACACAATAAATATAACATAATATATTGATGAACCGAAATAATATAGTTATGTCATAGTCGTTTTATCTTCATACATTTCCAAAATTTAGAACTGCTCGAAAAAATATTTAAACAATCTCTGAGCATCAACATTCAACAATCACATGCCATGAAATTAATTCACGAAAACATTCGCAAAAAAAGTGTATCCGTTTGAAGAATTTTGTTTAAAATAAATGTCAAATTAAACAAAGGACAGCATCCGAATCTTAAAATAATTTTCAAACACATATTGATTGTAGCTTTACAATGAAAGCTCAGCGTGATGATAATGGCTATAAATAGTTCAAGTTAAAAGTTTAAACTTGAAAACTGCGTAGGACGATAAAGTCTAAATATAAGCTGCAGTGCTTAGGAGAATAAGACTGCTTCAGCTAACTTAATTGAGGATTGCAAGTACAATTACCAGCAAATACACTGCTATATAATTATTGAAGTTCTTATCTCGAAATCCCGGGTTGATACATCTATTAACACAAAAATAATTATATGTATTAGATTTTTCAGATATCCCAAAATTAAAAAAACAAAACAATTACAATAAGGATAGTTGTTGAGACATCGGTGATCGGAGCACAGAAAAATAAAAACCTTTGACCATTACCTTATGAGCATTGCAGCTGACTCAAGGTGATAGCAGGTTGTTAAGTATTCAGTTTCGATGTTGTTGATCATGATGTGACCTTTTTGAGTCTTGAAACTTTTTAACGTCTACGCAGGCCAGTGGCGCTAGATTTACACCCAGGATTGTTTTTGAGCGCCATATGAATTGCGTTATTCCACGCTTTACTCGCTTCTCTTTTCTTAGGGCTGATCGGATCTGCGTACGGAGACGTGCCATCAGACGGGTCACACAAGTAGGTCCCGGAGTCAATATCCTCTCCTGTATCAGCGTTACCCGTGCCAAAACACTTCCCTTTACGCGTGCACTTCGGCTTCTTACCCGTGAACACGTCTGGGTACAGCATCGACGATAGAGCCTTCGACTTTTGGAGGATGAACAACTTTTCTTTGTTAATACTGCTGATGTTCATTCTTTGTAAACTTTGTATTCCCTGGAAGGAGGAAAAATATCAACAGGGCTAAGAGTCTGAATATAGAGTAGGATACAACATCTAATCAAGAATATAGCAAAATTTCAATTATTACAATCACTCTTGATATCAACAATAACTTTAATAGTATGAAAGTTCATGAATATCATTCGTACAGCTGACCTTAAGTTGTCGTTCTAACTGTCGCTGTTCTCGGAAATTAGCACTGTCAGCAACTTGGTGCGTCCGGGCTGTCAAACTGAAGATTTTAAACAATTTAAGTAGATTTTATACAAATGCCAATGGCGAAGAATATTTCTAATACGTAATGCTGCCGGACGGCAATGAAGCAAAATGTTACAATAAAAACCTGAGCAAGTTTGTCGGTGAATCTGTCGTTGAGGTAGAGCCATTTGTTTTCTTAACTCTTATTTTATTTTTACTTAGAGATTTCTCACTATCCGCCACATTCTCAGTACTGCCACTGGAGTTTTCTGAAATCAATAACAGCCGTCAAAAATAAAAATGTACCAAACTAAATTCAAAATCCAACCATCAGGAGAGATTTCTCAAAATCAAAATAACCTTATTTTTAGTAACAAACCAGTCTTGGAGTCAGATCTCTGCTCGACTTTAAGGTTGGGAGCAGATTTTGCCCTACTGTACTTCCGTCTAGTGGCAGCCACGATCTCGTCCGGTGATGTCACCAAAAGAGGAAAGTTTGAGATATCAGGAACCTTATTACCCAATCTGCTGCTTCTCCTCTTCCCAGACTTTAGCTTTTCCGTAAAAGTGGTGGTATCTGACTTCGTTTCCGGCTTACTGGGAGGAGGGTTTGGTTCTGATTTTTGTTTGGGTTTGGTGACTGATAGATCTGGGGTTTCGTTTATTGTGAAAATTTGACAGTCGTCGAACTGAAAGTCCAGCGGTCTGGAATATCTCCTCCGAAGTTTGGGTTCAGCGTTCGGAAGAAAGCTGATGCTTTTAGCTCGAACTCTTGTCCCATTTTCAGGAGGCTCGGTAGGTAGGCCCGCTGTTTTAACGATACCATCTAGCGTTTCATAAAGCATCTCTTGTCACCTGAGCATGCCAGATTTCAGATATTATATGTTATTTGAAATGATAAATCGAGAATAAATGTCAAGTTTCTCAAAACGATTATCCACTGCCTGAAATATCCAATACCGGCAATTATTTATTAGTTCTGTCAGATTCAGGTCATGCAAAATCTGTCTGGTACGGTTATTTTTCTGTACGGGTTCGTCAAGAAATATCTGGTTCGATCGTTTCCTATTTCATTTTGAAAGAATAGCCAGAGTGATAATGGAAACCACCTACAAATGAAAGGATGGATCAGGCAGAGCTACTGATAAAGATCTTTAAATTGGATTACTTTGCGGCATTAAATAGCAGTTCTGGAGAAAATACCGTTCATTAGTAATTGAAGGACCTTGACTTAATACCACACTAAAGTACGAAAGTTGATATGCACGGACACAACAGTACCGACCAATCTCAATCATTAAATATGCAATTCAATCAGAAGAGAAAACAAGTAACGTGGACATCAAGAATGGTACCGACAACCGACAAAAGAGTAATATTCAAGATAATTCAACGGAACTGGCAAGTAGCTAACTCTAAGTCTAAGTTTTGGAATATGGACCACTGATAATGATGAGACAATAATATTTCTAGCATTCGTCGCTAGCAAAACTGAGAAGTAAGATGGATAAAATACACTTTGTTACTTGGCGTGTTTCCTTGAAGGGGGTCCCACCTTCCCTAGAGGTCTCGCTTACTATCTCGCTATATTATACAGTATATACCGCACTGTACTGTTCTGTCGTTGTAATTAATTGGCAAACTTGAACATAGCCGCGTTGGGCGATCAAATACTGTGAACTCTAAAACAGATGGCCGGCACTGGATACCTGCCAGTTCTCACGAACAACTCCGCGGTTTTGAGGAGCGGCGAAATAACGAGGAAGTGTGATCACGGGGGATTGTAGCCGAGCCCACGTGACCAGGTGATCAGCCCACGTGATCAGGTGATCAGCCCACGTGATCAGGCCACTAGATCTGTGCTGAGAGACTATTGGCCACCTCTCTCTTCAAGAGGTCACACTTGATGTCAACTTTTGTTAAAAACTTGTGATAAACGAAATGACACAAGAAATGAAAGTAAATGAGTGAGTTTAAGTAGCTATTGGAGCTGACAAGTGTGCACTGGCAAGCAAGTTTAACAGTAGATATGATTTAATGACTCTATTTAAATATTGAGATTCTGAGTATTCACTATTATTTGTGATATGCATAACGTAACTGGTTGTTTTGTCAGGGGGCACATCGTTAGAGTCACAGACTTTTACACTAAATTATGTTGTTGGACGTGATCAGATTTTAAAATACAACCACAAGATAAGTCGGCCCAATCAGTATCAATGAAACACATTCTTTTTATATATCAGTAAAGCTAAAAAGTTAATAATAGACAAAGCGAACAATTCTGTTCAATTTTATACGTGCTAAGTTCAACAAAAGAGACTGTAACATAAACATGTGGTAAGATCGAACAAGCAAAATGAAAAAGTAGCAAGCGGAAAAACAGCAAAGCATCGGCATTTCTGGAACCAATCATCTTAAACCTATCGAATCTGGAGTAGATCATGATACTAGACTAGTGTGCAGACTGCAGAATCATAAACTCACAACAAATTAAAAAGCTAATGCACAGGGTAACCAGCAGAGAAAATCAGCGGAACAAATGTGTCAACAGGCGGAAAATACTGGGGTAGATCAGCTTGAGCTATCAGATCTCGAGGGTGGTATATTGATATCGTGTTTCGCTGCTTAGACCGATCGGTGAAGAAACGTTTCAATACTCTAAAGACCTCTAAAAACAGAATTGGCGAGGGTTTTTAACAGATCTCGCTGTGTGTCAGTAATGTGAAATTCAATCTCCGCCCCAGGCCCAGTGTTTTACGCACATTGCTGAACCCTGCTAACACTGTCTAATTATTGAGCTCTTTTACCTCCTCCTTCTCCTTCTCCTTCTCTTCATCAGCAGCCACATCTTCCTTATCTCCCGTCTTCTCTCCGTTGTCTCTGTTAACGATCTTCACCTCCTCTCCCTCCACCACACCCTCCTTCTTGGTGTTGTCAGTTTCAGAGCAGCTGTCAGGATCCTCCTCTTTCATCTCCTCCCCCTCACCAGCCTTCTCATCCAGCTCGCACTTCTTCTTGCTTCCCGTGTTCTTATGCTCCTCTTGGTCTAAGTTGGTGCTCGCTGGCGTGTTTGCTGCCTCTGCTTCAGTCCCTGGTTGTTGAATGTGGATGTTAGTTATAGATACAAGGCTAGGACACTCCCAGTGTTGGTATGGCCTGAGGTGCTTATCTCCTGTTCATTAACCCTAAGCCACTCGGTGCCAAGGCACTATACTAGTATACTAGCTGTAGGGGGGCTAGTCCTACGAGCAAGGGAGTCTGTACTGTGTATCACCAGCCGAAGCTGTACCAAATCACAGCTTGGCAACTGGCCGACTTGCAGCCGACCGAATTCGAAACCGGGATTTCTGCTTGGGAGGCAATCGTGTTACCACTACACCACCCGGCCAGTGATATATGCTTCATTTGTATATTCAGACGTGTCTGTCCATATTTTAACCTTCAGTGTGCCCTTAAATCAGAATATGTGACCCCTCCTCCCTTCCGTCCACACCCTCCCCTTTCCTCCTTTTCCTCCACCCCTCCTCCATTTCCTCCACTCCCTCCCTTTCCTCCACACCTTCCTGTATACTGTGAAATAATAACTCACTAGCTTCCTCCTCCCCAGTAGCGGTGATATTGAACTTGTTCACGATAACATCAGCCTTGTCTGGTGTGATGTCGCAACAACACCCCTCTATCTCACCAGAGTCCAAGTTATTTTCACCCTAGGAACATTGTAACTATTAAACGGGTAATTGAAATATTGTAATGCATTTCTTAGAATTTAAACTTGTCAACTTATCGATGAATCATCTATTGCCTCAGTATACCGTGTTTAATTTTATTTAAATCAGTCATATGAATATAATGTTGATTCAAATGTCATAATTAGATATTATTTATAAGTTATGCATGATGTAACCTCCAAATTTTGAGCAGCAAATTTCATTCCAAACTAAGAAAACTTGAACCTGTTTTTGTGGAACATCGTCGACCAGTTTAAGGTCTGTTTCCTGAATCTCAGCAGGTCTGTTAGAGTCGTCGTGATACAGAGACTCGTCGTTAATGTCGGTGTTGGAGTCGTCCTCGTTCTCAGAGGACTCGTCCTCCTGTACAACAAACTATTAGATTGCAGGAACTCAGGCAGGCACCAAGTTACACATATACTGTAACTATAGTGTTAGTTGCGTATCTATGAAGTGGGAGTTATGGGATCAATAGATTTAGTCTTCTTTGATAAAATAATACATATAACCATGTATCGTGCTGACTGCTGATACTGGTAATGGTATTATCTTTAAAGTAGTCACCATGATAACTCCTCTCAACATAACCGAAATACTCTTACCCCTCCACTCCGCACTCCAGCAATAAGAGCAGACACCATGACCATGAGAATAATAGAGCCGAGTGTTATACACGCCAGTATACTAGCCAGGAACTCGTTGTGACTCCACACTAGGGTTGACATGTACATGTCAGGGATACCAATGTAGAGGTAATATTCCATCCCGTACCCATACGGGGGTGAGTTCTGGGGGGAGGTGAAGGAGTTAGCTACAATACGGGGGTGAGCTCTGGGGGGAGGTGAAGGAGTTAGCTACAATACGGGGGTGAGCTCTGGGGGAGGTGAAGGAGTTAGCTACAATACGGGGGTGAGCTCTGGGGGGAGGTGAAGGAGTTAGCTACAATACGGGGGTGAGCTCTGGGGGGAGGTGAAGGAGTTAGCTACAATACGGGGGTGAGCTCTGGGGGAGGTGAAGGAGTTAGCTACAATACGGGGGTGAGCTCTGGGGGGAGGTGAAGGAGTTAGCTACAATACGGGGTGAGCTCTGGGGGGAGGTGAAGGAGTTAGCTACAATACGGGGTGAGCTCTGGGGGGAGGTGAAGGAGTTAGCTACAATACGGGGGTGAGCTCTGGGGGGAGGTGAAGGAGTTAGCTACAATACGGGGGTGAGCTCTGGGGGGAGGTGAAGGAGTTAGCTACAATACGGGGGTGAGCTCTGGGGGGAGGTGAAGGAGTTAGCTACAATACGGGGGTGAGCTCTGGGGGGAGGTGAAGGAGTTAGCTACAATACGGGGGTGAGCTCTGGGGGGAGGTGAAGGAGTTAGCTACAATACGGGGGTGAGCTCTGGGGGGAGGTGAAGGAGTTAGCTACAATACGGGGGTGAGCTCTGGGGGGAGGTGAAGGAGTTAGCTACAATACGGGGGTGAGCTCTGGGGGGAGGTGAAGGAGTTAGCTACAATACGGGGGTGAGCTCTGGGGGGAGGTGAATGAGTTAGCTACAATACTGGGGTGAGCTCTGGGGGGAGGTGAAGGAGTTAGGTACAATACGGGGGTGAGTTCTGGGGGAGGTGAAGGAGTTAGCTACAATACGGGGGTGAGCTCTGGGGGGAGGTGAAGGAGTTAGCTACAATACGGGGGTGAGCTCTGGGGGGAGGTGAATGAGTAAGCTACAATACGGGGGTGAGCTCTGGGGGGAGGTGAAGGAGTTAGCTACAATACGGGGGTGAGCTCTGGGGGAGGTGAAGGAGTTAGCTACAATACGGGGGTGAGCTCTGGGGGGAGGTGAAGGAGTTAGCTACAATACGGGGGTGAGCTCTGGGGGGAGGTGAAGGAGTTAGCTACAATACGGGGGTGAGCTCTGGGGGAGGTGAAGGAGTTAGCTACAATACGGGGGTGAGCTCTGGGGGAGGTGAAGGAGTTAGCTACAATACGGGGGTGAGCTCTGGGGGGAGGTGAAGGAGTTAGCTACAATACGGGGGTGAGCTCTGGGGGGAGGTGAAGGAGTTAGCTACAGTACGGGGGTGAGCTCTGGGGGGAGGTGAAGGAGTTAGGTACAATACGGGGGTGAGCTC